GTGTTACGGTACTGAAGACTGTCAGTGTGTCGTGTTACGGTACTGAAGACTGTCACTGTGTTACGGTACTGAGGACTGTCACTGTGTCGTGTTACGGTACTGCGGACTGCTACTGTGTCGTGTTGCGGTACTGAAGGCGGTCACTGTGTCGTGTTACGGTACTGAGGACTGTCACTGTGTCGTGTTACGGTACTGAGGACTGTCACTGTGTCGTGTTACGGTACTGTGGACTGTCGCTGTGTCGTGTTACGGTACTGAGGACTGTCACTGTGACCAGTTTTACATGCAATAGGGTGTACTGTGTGTTGAGCTTTTAGTTGTAAAAATACTCGATTTTTTTCCACTGGTGTTATGACACAAAACGTAGTTAAATGACAAGGTGTTTTGTATTCGTTATCAAAAATGAAATAAATGTCTGTTGTTTTGAGATACAATAGTGGTGATGACGTTGATCCTATAATGTTTGGTTACTACACTGTTCATCATTGAAGGTCAGGTTGCTATAAAAAGTTATACTGACATTATCAATGTGTCAAATTATTCATTTCTTTCTATGTCATTTTTTTTATCTAAATATAATTTATGTCGACAAATATCGTGAAAAGTATCACGGCATTTCATCTTAAATTATCACGAGTAAAGCAATTGTTTGTGTCGAGATCAGCACATTTTCACGCGATACACCATCTACGTTCTTGAGGATAACATAATCCATGTGTGTTTGTAAAAGAGACACTAATTAATTTATCTCTGGTAAAATACATACCAGTCCTTTATCATCATCAACCAACATTCATTTCTTTTATTCCTCATAATTGAGATTACATATTGAAAAAATGCACAAAATGTACAAAAGTCAAGTATATGACATATGTTGGTAATGTTGGTGGGTGACAAAGACAGATCTTCAATCATGTGTTTGATTTAATTTGTACTTTGAAACATAATTTCCGGGTATTCCGTTTACTCGGGCTTTACCCTACTATGATAACCTCCCCCGTTATAGAGTAAAACTTGTAAGTATCTCATAACTGATGCAATGTTAAGTCGTAGGCCTGCAAATCGTCGTCACTTGGCAGTTATATACCCGCTACTGTAAGAATACCAACTTCGTCGCTGTGTTATTATTTGGAAACAATGCAATCTGTAAGGAGATTGTCGAGCATCTTTATTCTGTGGAATAAAGAGTTTTTGATCAACACAGTTACCTTCAGTTTATCTAGAGTTACCTCATCACACATTGGTCGTGAAGCCACGAAGTAGTTCTGATGACGATCATTTGATAACGTCAGTTTGTCACTGTCGACGTTAACTTCCGTGAGAGTAAGAATGTCGCAGTTCATTGACGTATGAGATATACCTCATACATTCCACGTGGGGATCGACAAATTAATCAATCAAACAGCATATGAAAGGAATTTGTACATTTTGGTGTTAATTCAGCGTTTTGTTTATACCTGTAGTTGCTTTCGTTGTCCCACCGATCTCGCGCACCATCGTTTCTGTCGAATTCATCGTCTGAATCGTAGTTTCATATCAACTGTATTCCCCATATTGTAACAGTTAATAATTTATGTTTCAATTATCAAATATCTATAAAATTAAAAACAAAACCGAGGAATACGTCGTTTAAATTTTCTGTTTAAGCGAAAAGTGACGTCATCAAGTTCAAATATTATAGTTGAAATAGTAAAGTCACAAATTTAACCAGAAGATTGATATGAAAAATGTAAACTCTCGTATTTCCTTTCTTTTTCTTTTTTGAATAATTACATTATTCTATTTTTTCGTTTATTTGAGATAAAAGCAGTCCATCGGACATTGATATTTCATAAAACAGTGATTCGGATTTAATTCAGATTTCATGAAACAATGCATCTAGTGTTTCTTTGGGAAATATTTACGATTAATTTGGACTGTCAGTTTGACGTCTACTGTAGCAGGCACCGTTGACAAACGGCTTACTCCCATTTCGCCTTAGCTGTCAATTTCATGGTAAAAAATTATTCCCATTTCGCCTTAGTGCCAAAACCAGGTAGGAAGGAGTCAGCTAAGGCGAAATGGAACCTTGTATAAACAAATTAAGGAAGCCAAGTAATTAAGTTAATCATGTTTATTTAGGTCTATACTAGTATTCTTTTTGCAATGTCATCAATACAAACATAATTAACATTATAGATATATATATAATATATATTGATACAGACAAGTATACATTTCATGCAACAAAATCTTATAGTTTAGCACTATCAATCTTATCATATCAATCATTTAAATCAAGCACTAATGTTCAAAAGTTTCACTGCTTCGATATGCTTTAATAAAAAGTCCTAACATTCAAATTAAGCACTATAAATATCACAACACTGTTGAACTAGTCACTGAGTTTCAGAATGTAGGATGCTGCGTCTCCATACTGGATGTAGTCTTTGGTCCCATTCAACAGATCAGTCTTTAGGTTTGCTAGACGTTCTTCCACTTCTCTGTACTTCCTTGGTTTCTTTCGTCTCTGTCCACCTGCTGCATATTGAATCATCTCGGTAGCTGCTTGAAGTCGCTGGAACTCCTCGATTATCTTCCATACAAGATGTCTACCACCTCTGTTAGTCTCTAAAAAGACTACATGTAGCATAACTCCTGCCATGTTGATTGTGAAACTAATACTTTAGCATACTGTCAAAGGTCTTTTATAGATAACATGTAAGCTGAGATGAGGAGTTATTCCAAGCTGAATCTCTGTAAGTCTAGTGTTATTCCAAGCTGTTACTTCTAGGGTGAACAGATAATTCAGTCTGTAAAAATCTACTATGAATATTTTTGTATGCATATATCCCCAAGAAAAACTATCTAAAACTATAACTAAAAATATAAGTTGCTTATAAACATACCTTTCATTGAAAAACTAGGTTTTTAAAATAAGGTATGTTCCTTCTTTGAATTATAACAGAAACAAGAAATAAAATCAATATTTATTTAAATATATTTAATTGATTTAGTATTAAAATGTACATGTTCCAATACAACATGTATTTCTTCATATATATTTTATATCATATATATCTTTAATCTATGTGGCCTTTGGTCAATTATAATGAAGATTTAACTGTAGAATGAGTTATTGTAAAAACAACAACTGCTGCATGTAATTGGTTTGTTTATCTTTCTACACTTTTCCTAAATTCCCACTTTGCCTTAGCCCCATTCCCATTTCGCCTTAGCACATTTCCACCTGTTTTATACCAAAATATGTAACTAAGGCGAAATGGGAACACACCTGACAAACTTGGTAATCTAGTTGTTATTGCTAATAATGAATTTGTGGCAAAAATTATACATATAAATTTGACAATAAATCTGTTTTATTCTAATTTGATAGCTTTGTAAAGTTACTTTTTATGAAGGTCTTACATACGTCCAGCAACTTCGGACTTTTCAGTACAGAGTTTAATGATACAGAAGTGAATGTGACCGGTGGCCAGTTTTGTTTACCAAGGAGACATCTTGATTATTAATTTCATCACCGACCGAATCGTTGTAAACTGTATAGTTTACAGCCTCATACACTACAATATTACGTATTAATGATATATATATAGGCGAATGCAACACAGAATGTAAATATTACATTTATATCTACCAGGCTTACTTTTTAGTGACCTTCGCACCCTGATCACCGATTGTGTATTCATACGCTTGACCAGATGGCCGTTCATAGCCTGGTATACCTCCATCTAGTTTACATAAAACTACGCGGGAAAATGGTAGTAGAATAGAAACACATGTACAACTACATGTATAATGGAACCTACCTGGTGTTTGTTTATATTAAACACTAACGTCTATTATGTTGAAGGTCCCTGTGCCTCAGACATATTTCGAATAATTGGTTGTGGATTTCAATAACAAATGAAATAGTGTAAGTGAGTTTTATAAAGGGACAAGAGACTTTATCTATGAAATGCTGACTAGACATCTCTGCCTTGGTTGTGGATTTCAATAACAAATGAAATAGTGTATGTGAGTTTTATAAAGGGACAAGAGACTTTATCTATGAAATGATGACTGGACATCTCTGCCTATCCCAGTGATTTGTTTACTGTTGCACTTTACCATTATTGTTCCCAATAGTTTCTGGCTAATTTGTATGCATGTACATACTAACCTACGTTATAAGTGTTTGTGTTAAAACATATCCGGGTGCAGTTTGTAGATAGATCCATTTGCAGCACCGCACTGTGCCTTCTTAAGGTATAGTTTGTGACATTAGGGTAAGAAATTAAGGACTTTCCAGTGTGACCCGAGCCTGACAAGACATTGAGTTTATATATATAAACCATCAAAAGGGACATTTTCATTGTAGAAAACATCTTTTTCTCTCTCATATAGCTGAGATTCCACAGCAACTGTTGTGTAAATGACGTCATGATTGATGTATATTCTACATGTCATATGTCCTTACTCTGCCGTTGTCACAATACATGTCGTCATGTAACAAATCATGTGTTCATAAAATATATCTTTATTAACAAGTGATATACAATAAAATTTGTCCGAATGATTGACTTTATATAAACGTATCAACAGCTTACCATTTAGATAGGTAATATTTCTCGGAACGCTGTAAAATGTAAATTATAATCTTAAATATAAATCCGTTACTTTTTATCTACGCTGCCTTCTTCCCCGTGTTGATGTTTCCTCGTACCCCCTAATTCGTGGCTTCCTCACCAGTAGTCCCTCTGATTTCCTCTTACTCTATCACATTCTCTCTTCACTCATCCATATCTCAATGTTTACCGCCTACTGTACAACGATATACTACAGCATACAATTGGCTGTGTATGAACGGGTATTAAAATTTATCGCTTGAAGGGCTGTATCAGATTCAGACCTGGTATTTCATTGTTACAGATTTATATGAAGAATATATACGATGTTCACTGACCATAAAGCAAATTAATTTCTCGTCTACTTTACTTCTAGATACCGAGGTAGTAAACATGGCTGACGTGAAAGATGTTTGTGAAAATGGCGAGACTTGTCCTGGAGTTGATATTGAACTGGACATTCCGGACGAGTCCACGGATGCACCAGACATAGTATACAAGGAAGTCCCTGAACCGCTGCTCTACAAGATCTCGGACAGACCACCTGTTCATATGACGTTTTTCTTTGCCTTTCAGGTAAAGTATCATTTCACTCTTTACAGGGTTTATAGTTCTTGCGGCGTCTGTTCTCATCAGGTTTTATTAAAGACTCGCGGAATTCACTATATAAATGTACTATATTGGGATATATTGGTCAATTTCGTAAACATTTATAGACTGTAAGCTACGAAAGTTTTGTATTAACCGTTCTATCAATCATTTTGTTTATTGTCCTTTCTACTAGTTACAAAAGTTTGTCATATGAATGTTGTCTTAGATTCCATCCACACTGTGCACGTAAAATGTACTAGTACCTTTAAAGAGTCTTCTTCAATGCGTCAACGAACATAATTCTTTTGCATAATCAACCATGCTTCCTGTAATAGAATGCTATAAAACTATGTTTTAACCATTGAAGGTTGCGTTTAATTAAAAGTGCATTGGAATGGAACGGTGCATAGTTGTTTCCTAGTACCCATTTGTATCGAATGTGTATAGGAACTGATGTGGTTAATATTTGTCAAGGCAATTAATTGTCTAAAACCTGAGACATTTGAGGGGCGAATAAGAACTGACAAAGAACCGTGCTTCTTGGTCTATGGGCAGTAAATAGCTGGTATGGCTCAATTAAGGATTGAGAAAATATCAAAACTTAAAGTTTCTTTCTGTTCTTAAAAGGCTCACATGTACTATTGTGAAGGAAGACTAAATCCAGTTTATTTACATGTAGATTTAGTTTATGTATATATCGAAAGGGGAGATAACCACGACGAAGACAGCAAAATACTGGAGCGGAAAAAACTTTAGGATACATTTAAAATTTATTAGCTATTACATAATTCTTTAAACCAAATAATTTTTCATTTGATATTGGTCACATCTGTTGACTTGTGCCCTCAATAGATATCAGATAGAATATGGTGCCTTTTTATTCATCTGTGGGTAAATCTACTTTCCCATCAAACTTGCCACCTTACAACTCCAACATCAAAGACACAGAGTGGAATAATTTAGGTGATGTGCATACCACGTTTTAATACACACACATGTACTATATATTCCTCTGAAATTATCAGGCATATAAAAATTACGAAATTGATGAAAATGTAGGGCTAGAGGACTTCAGATTTTGACATTTCTTTCTCAACCTTCACCTAGTCTCAAAATGTAAGTCACTACCTAATCCTACATGGACAAATGATCTATAGAATGGAGTTGAGTTCTTTGGTTGTTTCTATTTTATTACAGCGATGTACAGAAAGGTTCTATTTACTTGTTTATCTTTTGTACAATCCTTAGGGTTACATCTATCGATTTGCACGTGGTTTTGAGGATTCCCGGTCTTTTTTTTTATGTCTAAAACGTTCACAGAGATAAAGTGTATTTCCTTTCTCTGACACAGGAGTAGTTGACCTATTATTAGCATAAATAAGCTTCAATTCGTCAATTTTTTACAGAAATTTCCATAATATTCACACTGTATTAGGATACCTTCACCGAGAAAAAGATAGATATAAGACTATGTTTCCCTGCTACCTGAATGATAACAATGTCTTTCACTTTGAATTAAAAATTGTTACACGTGTACAAAATGTACGATGTTCCTGAACAGGCTAAGCGGTTTCGTTTGCACTTTTATCTTTAGCTTTCATATTCTCAATGAAACACACAATAAATGATCGTATCAAATGCTTTGAGTCAACTTCGGTATTGATTTTTGTACATTTCACATTCATTTAAATAAATATTCATTTATGGCCTTATGTAATTTTGAATCGGCAGAGACCATAATTCAAAAACAGTTCTCTGCGTTTGTTTCTGGCTTTGCCATAGATTTCAAATATTTTACTACGGAATAAATTCTCCACATCTAATTGTTAGACGACGTCACGTGGTAGCTATCTCATGTTAGACAGTCGTGACGTTATACGTTTATACCAGGTTTTTTTTGGGTTTTTTTTTGCGTTTTGTTTCTGTTTTTTTTTTCCGTTTTTTTATTTGTTTGTTTGTTTGTTTGTTTTTGTTTTCAATTGCCCCCAATAACTTTCTACTCATTCACTTCTTGAAACCTGCTGTTTATCTTGATTTCCCCTCTCTTCAGCTGGTAACCAATTTCAACTATGCTGACGACAATACGAGTTACCTCCCTTCCACCGATAAATGTCTTCGCGTATGTACCGGTATTGTATGGATGGGAGTGTAAACGGCGAACCTGTGTGTATTGGTTTGTAAACACTATTATTGCACAGATTGAAATAGAAATGAAATCATCTTTTGAAGTAATTTCCTAGATAATTTATACAGTTTATCATTGTAATTTACAGCAAGTACTTGTAGCATTGTCGGGGTCTCTAGCTGTGTCGTCATTCGTGGCGGACGTCGCATGTGCGTCTGACTTTTCGGACATCAGGACAGACCTCCTCAGTTCTACTTTATTAATGAATGGCGTGACTACATTGTTGATGGTCACTCTTGGGGCGAGGTAAGTGTTCTAGTAATAATATCAAAGAAGTTCACTAGTTCACACGTTTCTGCTACTGCAAATTAACTATGAAAGTCTGTTGTCCATAATAAAAGAACATATTGCTTGGAGCGTGAATTATTTTGCGGATTTCCTTCCAATATTAAACAGCTTAGTGATTGACATGTGTTGTAGATATCGCTATATTTTACCTCACGTAACTCTTTAGTTTGTTAAGTGGCATGTTTTGTAGGGTGTGACCACTTTCTCTATAGTTTGTCAGGTGGTATGTTTTGAAGGCTGTGGCCACTTTCTCTATAGTTTGTTAAGTGGCATGTTTTGAAGGGTGAAGCCACTTTCTCTATAGTTTGGTTAGTGGCATGTTTTGTAGGGTGTAACCACTTTCTCTATAGTTTGGTAAGTGGCATGTTTTGTAGGGTGTAACCACTTTCTCTATAGTTTGTCAGGTGGTATGTTTTGAAGGCTGTGGCCACTTTCTCTATAGTTTGTTAAGTGGCATGTTTTGAAGGGTGAAGCCACTTTCTCTATAGTTTGGTTAGTGGCATGTTTTGTAGGGTGTAACCACTTTCTCTATAGTTTGGTAAGTGGCATGTTTTGTAGGGTGTAACCACTTTCTCTATAGTTTGGTAAGTGGCATATTTTGTAGGGTGTGGCTGATAGTTTTGGCGAGTGTCATACGGAATGTATGTGTTTCCTTTTAAAATGTGGAGCAATGTGACTGTCATGTTTTGCAGGCTGTCTGTAATTCACTCCAACGGCTATATGATTTGTGAATGTAGTATTTTGCGGGCTGTCTGTTATTCACTATAACGACTCAAGAGCTAAGCGAGTGTCATATTTTGCTGGCAGTCTGTGTTTTACTCTAACGAATTTATAACTTAGCGATTGTCATATTTTGAGGACTGTACTGTTTTTCGCTCTAACGACTATAGAACTTGGTGTCATATTTTGCTGACTCTTTGTGTTTCCCTTTAACGGCTATGGAGCTTGGTGACTGTCATATTTTGCAGGCTGTCTGTGTTAAACTCTAACGATCCCAGAGCTTGGTGACTGTCATATTTTGCACGCTGTCTGTGTTTCGCTCTGACGACTCTAGAGCTTGGTGACTGTCATATTTTGCAGGCTGTCTGTGTTAAACTCTAACGATCCCAGAGCTTGGTGACTGTCATATTTGCAGGCTGCCTGTGTTTACCTCTAACGCTTGATGAGTGGAATCTTTTGCAGGTTGCCACTGTTTCAGGGAGCAGCATCTGATTATGTAGTTCCTCTCCTTGCCATGCAGATCATCGATAAAGACTTTTGCGCACTGCCAGGTTTGTTGCATCGACCGCTTCACTCTTATATTGAATCTGCATCACATACTCTTTATCTGACTACAGAAACTTTCGTCTTTGAAGCTTACCGATTTTTTTATTTTAATTTGTGTAAATTCAGACTCGATGAAAATAAATACAAGTTTCACAAAAGACCCGCCGATTTCGAGATAACGAGATTCGACTTTGAAAAGTCACGTTTACTTCGTCATTGTCATTGTATTAAAACCACGGACTTATATACACAGGATTAAAGGTAAATTGAGAGGCAGACAGTCGTTACGCTCCGCTGCGCAAATATAAAAGGTGGACAATACACATGCGGAGCTGAAGACAAGTTGCCTATCCCTGTGTATACAAGTCCGTGTTAAAACAATGAAGGTTTCGGTTATATTTACTTGCTATCAAAATACTCCATCAAGCACTTTTCAACTTCCTCTTTACCTTTAAGTTTCAAATTCAGACTATGAAAATAAATACAAGTTTCACAAAAGACCCGCCGATTTCCAGATAATGCATTGAAAACAATTTACCGTCACACAAAACAATGCATTTCGGTTATATTTACTTGCTATCAAAATACTCCATCAAGCACTTTTCAACTTCCTCTTTACCTTTAAGTTTCACAAGTAGTAAGATAGTAGTAAACCACCTAATATTGATTACCATAATGCATTGCCAAACAATTTCCCTCACACAAACTCACTCATGCATTTCCAAACAATTTCCCTCACACAAACTCACTCATGCATTGCCAAACAATTTCCCTCACACAAACTGACTCATGCATTTCCAAACAAGTTCCCCCACACAAACTCACTCATGCATTTCCAAACAATTTCCCTCACACAAACTCACTCATGCATTTCCAAACAATTTCCCTCACACAAACTCACTCATGCATTTCCAAACAATTTCCCTCACACAAACTCACTCATGCATTTCCAAACAATTTCCCTCACACAAACTCACTCATGCATTGCCATACAATCATCATCACACAAACTCACTCATGCATTGCCATACAATCATCATCACACAAACTCACTCATGCATTGCCATACAATCATCATCACACAAACTCACTCATGCATTGCCATACAATCATCATCACACAAACTCACTCATGCATTGCCATACAATTACCCTCACACAAACTCATTCATACAATTACCCTCACAAATGTCATGGAAAAATGAAGGCACAAGCGATGTAATTTGATTGGTTCTTGAAGAAAACAACTGACCAATCACAGGCTGACATGCTCCTTTTGAAGATTACAAACGAACAACATTCTATTTCAAAGCCATAACAATACACTGTTACGCGACTTCGAGATTCGTTTGATGTACATCAAAGGATCAAACCAGTATTCTCACCTTGTCCACAAGGTGTCGCTATAGAGCCTTCAGTTTTGCCAAGACATACAATTACCCTCCCGAATACTCAATCTCACATTGTCTTTCAATTACCCTCACAAACACTCAATCTCACATTGCCTCACAATTACCCTCCCGGATACTCAATCTCACTCTGCCATATAATTACCCTCCCGAATACTCAATCTCACATTGCCATATAATCACGTTCGGGAACACTCAATCCCGCGTTTTCAATACAGGATTTAAACTTAATAAAGAGGTTGTCTGACCTCCTGTGTTGAGATGAAGAGATTTTTGTGAAATTTGGTCAATAGTGTCCTTGAATGAAAAAAAAGAACTATTGACATGTCAATAGAACGTTAATTCAGAATCTTGATTAGTCATGTTTGCATTTATGACCTGGCGCAACTGATTGAAAAAATATTATATGTTATAGTTTCAAAAGACTTCTTCCATGAAAATAAGGAAATTTGAGGAAATAGATATTGTTTAACTGATATAGAAATACACAAAAAGGGGAAAATCTTTTAAAGAGTTTTTTGTTGAGATGAAAGTTTGACTAATTTAGTCGAGGTGAAGAAAGTTTGATTTGCAGCATCATTTTATGAATGGTATTCACTCACTTTCATTAATCAATATTTAGTTTGTGTTGTTTGAAATTATTTTATTTATTTATTTATTCTTTTTTTTTGGTTTTTTGCTTTGTTGTTGTTTTTTTGTTGTTGGTTTTTTTTTGTTTTTGTATCAAGGGGTTGGGTCCCTTAGTTGCAAAAGGACATCTTGATTTTTCTAAAGGCAGCAATTTTTGTGCAATTGGACGATATCTACATAATTCGCCTGTTATCCAGTGAATTTACCTATATAATATATGTGTGTATACATCACTTGTATTATATAGTCGTTTCTGATGTCCTAACATGGACAGCAATGACTTTACGTCATCAACTGAAAAAGGCGCAACAAAACGACGGGCACACGTGGTAGCATGTTATAAGTATTCGACCTTAATGTCATCCTCCAGATACCTGGTAAGGAATATCCAGCATAGAATATCCTTTATCTTCACGTGAAGGATGCCTAGACTAACTGATGCTGAACGCAGCAGGGCAGTACAGTTACGGTTGGGTGGAAACACTCAAATGTTGTAGCAAGAATGAGTGTCCACTAAATCACAATAAGCCCACTTAATAGTCGCCTTAGATTGACCGGTACAACTGTCGACCGTCATCGACCGAAGGTTACGACGCCGCCCGAAGACCGATTCATGAGGTTGCAGCACTTGCGCAATTGTTTCAGAACTGTACAAAAAACTGCAAACGAGACACTTCTGGAAGAATGGCAGAATATATATATATATAATATGGCCATAAGACATATATGTACTTTAAGATTCATAGTGAGTCTTAATCTATTACGCCATATAAGGTTTAATGTTCTTTTCAGATTCGGCTACCAATTACGCCGTAGAAAATACAACTCTGCCTATGACAAACAGTACGGGATCTATAACGGACTTGAAGAGACAATTGTCTTTTACCAAATTACAAGAGGTATTTATCTAGGATTAACATTTAACAAAAGTTAACAGAATCGACATGATTGGCTGAAAAGTCTATTACCGAACTGAAGAAGGATATCAAACTTAGAAACTAACTAAAACATTATCTGGATGGAAACGAATATTGAACGTTTCCGTCAATTAAGTAAACAATGATGGCGTTTACAAACTACATCGATATAAATTGCAACATAAATAACATCAATCAGTAAAATATGTATAGCATTAACCATAACCAAAATAACTGTCATTGTATATACATCAAATCAAGTGAGTGTTGGTAAAGCAACATGTTTAGTACCACAACCAGTCATCATTTCGATATTATCTTAATTAATATAAAATATTAATAGTTTACGGTACTTGTCAGTTTACAATGTAGATCTCAAACCGTTTACAAATATTAAAGGAAATGTGGACGCTAAGACAAACAGAAATCGAACGTGTTAAATAAATGTATAATTTCTGTGCTGTATCAGTTTCAGGGCTGTTTGATCCTGGTCGGGATCATTCACTGCTTGGTTGGACTGACAGGCTTAGGCGGTCTCCTCCTCAGGTTTATAGGGCCAGTCACAGTCGTTCCTGCAATCTTACTTAGCGGCATATTTCTATCACGTGCTACTGCGAAATTCGCCAGATCACACTGGGGCATGGCAGCTCTGTAAGTATAACAATATTGATGTGAGTTATATGTTGTTTGTTTATAAACTGTCAATAATAATACATTGTAACTGTCCAAAGCAGCTACGTGTCGGTATAGCTCTCTATTCGTAAAGACGACAGGCAATATGTACACTCATAGTTGAACTGTCGCTACTCAATGTCAATTAGCGCAGTTTTCGCTTGTTCTCGTTAAATCTTCATACATGTCTATTTTCAGCTTGTTTCTTAAATATATGAATGCAATGATATGACAATTTAAATACAATAGCTGGAATAAAATAGAAGTTCTTAAAACACAACCAGTAGAAGACAAGAGTGCGACGTTTCGATGACTACACGGTACTAGCACTGACGTACGTAGTGTACGAGATGGTAAGGAATCGACCAATTTTTACGCTATACTATAATGCTATGTACACTAAGGTCGAACATATTATGGGAAGATGATCGACAGATTACATACAAAAGTGCACTTGATGGTGACAATATAATGCAGTCAATTAGGCTATGCTTTGTTTACACTTGTTCATAGATGTTTGAAGGTAAGTGGTCCTGTGCATTGAGTGTCCATCACATGTATTTCTAAAAAAAAGAACTATATCTACAGTGTATTAATTATCAGTCACGTGTATCAAGTATCAATCACGTATATATCTAGAACTATACCTACGTGAATCAGATATCAATCATGTGAATTTCTATAACAGTAGCTGTTATTATGTAGTAATCACTCGTGTTTGTAGAACTGCATCTACGTCCATCATCTTATCTCTTTATGTGGGACATAAGAAGATGCCTTTTCCTGCCTGGTCACGAAAAAGAGGGTTCTTCATTTATTGGTATCCATTCCATCAGGTTTTCTCGGTAAATATTATTTGTTTTACCGAAGGTAATAATCATAGATATTTGCCATTCATGTTTCACATAAATCAATATTATTTTCGTTTTTAGGTTTGGATTTCAATGTGAATAAACCTTTGTTAAAAGAATCTTCGGAAAAACAGAAAAAATGATAATTTCTCCTCTTGGGTTTAATATCACACTGTGATTTGATACATAAACATCAGGGTAAATATATACATAATCCTGTTAACCAATAGAGCTGAAGGCAATTATGTGAACCCTCTGTAGTTATGTCTTGTTTCAAAAATAACATAAGATAATCGGTAGTGTTTTGGGGTAAATATCACGATAGAGCCTCGCGATAATAATTGAACCGATCCTCAATCGACGTGTCTGATGATCTAAACAGGATTTACAGACATTTTATCAAAATAGTTGGGAGAAGACTTTGTGATAACAAGTAAACTATGCTTCAAAATGTACTGCGTCACATAAATTATAATAACACACAATAACAGCTGAACAGTGCTATGGAAATATATGAAACTATTTAGCTCTATCGAATTGAATAACGAATCAAGTGTCCTAAATTTCGTGTTTTCCACTTGAAGAATTAAAAGAGTGAACGATTACCAAAGAGTCTCTAATAATTGTCTGTAAACTGTCCTTAATGCTGCTCTGTTTATTATTTACAGTATAACTAGCCCCGTAAACATGTCTTTATCACCTGACACATAATGTTACAGCTTTTGATTGGTATACTTGCGGGCTGGTTGATGTCAGCCCTGATGACTTGGTTCGGTGCTTTAACAACAGATGTTAATGAGACTCAGTATATGGCAAGAGTAGATGCGCAATCTGGAGTGATCAGAGATGCCAACTGGTTCAAAGTGCCATACCCAAGTAGGTTTATAGTGTTAACTCATACCCAAGTACGTTTACAGTTTTAAGTCATACCAAAGTAGGTTTACAGTGATAACTATACCCAAGTAGGTTTACAATTTTAACACATACCCAAGTAGGTTTACAATGTTAACCCATACCCAAGTAGGTTTATTGTGTTAACTCATACCCAAGTAGGTTTACTCATACCCAAGTAGGTTTTAATTGTGTTAACTCATACCCAAGTAGGTTTACAGTGTTAACCCATACCCAAGTAGGTTTATAGTTTTAACTCATACCCAAGTAGGTTTACAATGTTAACCCATACCCAAGTAGGTTTATAGTGTTTACCCATACCCAAGTAGGTTTACAGTGTTAACTATACCCAAGTAGGTTGACAATGTTAACTCATACCCAAGTAGGTTTATAGTGTTAAGTCATACCCAAGTAGGTTTACAGTGTTAACTATACCCAAGGAGGTTTACGGTGTTAACTCATACCCAAGTAGGTTTACAGTGTTAACCCATACCCAAGTAGGTTTATAGTTTTAACTCATACCCAAGTAGGTTTACAGTGTTAACCCACACCCAAGTAGGTTTATAGTTTTAACTCATACCCAAGTAGGTTTATAGTGTTAACTATATTCAAGTAGGTTGACAATGTTAACTCATACCCAAGTAGGTTTATAGTGTTAAGTCATACCAAAGTAGGTTTACAGTGTTAGCTATACCCAAGGGGGTTTACGGTGTTAACTCATACCCAAGTAGGTTTACAATGTTAACCCATACCCAAGTAGGTTTATTGTGTTAACTCATACCCAAGTAGGTTTACGGTGTTAACTCATACCCAACTAGGTTAACAATGTTAACCCATACCCAAGTAGGTTTATTGTGTTAACTCATACCCAAGTAGGTTTATAGTGTTAACTCATACCAAAGTAGGTTTATAGTTTTAACTCATACCCAAGTAGGTTTACAATGTTAACTGTACCCAAGTAGGTTTACAGTGTTAACCCATACACAAGTAGGTTTACATACAGTGTTAACCCATACCCAAGTAGGTTTACAATGTTAACTCATACCCAAGTAGGTTTACAGTGTTAACCTATACCCAAGTACGTTTACAGTGTTAACTCATACCGAATTAGGTTTACCATATTTTAACTGATATTACGTAAACCACTTCCCCTTCCCCTCTTTAGTTCCCTCAGTATCACCTCCCACTTTGTCGTTAGGATAGGGTTTAATATAAATTGGCAACTATTTGTCTTTATCCCGCTACAGATATTTGATAAAATAAGAAGCAATTATCACGACTATCAATTCCGGAATCACATGTCCCAGAGACACGAAGGGAATAAAGGCATACGATGCATTTGTTTATATACAATGAAACTTTTGTTTCAGATCAGTTTGGCGCACCTTCATTCCATACAGGAGTATTCATCGCCTTTCTTATCGCCACGATCACCTCAATACTCGACTCAATTGGTGACTATTACGCATGCGCTAGAGTTTGCAATGTTCCCCCGCCACCAAAACATGCGGTAAACCGCGGACTGGCTGTGGAGGGATTCGCAAGTACAATATCCGGCATGCTTGGTTGCGGTCACGCCACAACCACTAATGGAGGTAGTATTGGAGCCGTAGGAGTTACAAAGGTACAGGGTAGTCAAGGTCGAATAATTGTCCTTACTGATAAGTTGTCAAAACAAAATTAACTAAACGCTTTCACGCCAAATTGCATCATAGGTTTCTAATATCAATGTGAAATAACTGTCAAATGATTCAACGAAATCTATAGATTTACTATTACAGCATCATTACATGATATTGCACCTTTTGGTAAAGTAGATGTGACCGCTAACTTTAGGACCATCCATAAGTTATGTTATCACTGATTACCTAGCTCTTTCAAGGATTGCAAATACAAACACAAGTGAAAAGAACCTTTTTGTATACTAATTTAGAATAAGGTAAAATACATAAAGACAGTGAGTTAGGTTGCACCAATAGTCTGTTTCGTTCTATTTATGGTAACAGTGTGATGCAATTCTTTTTACAGGTGGCAAGTCGTGACGTTTTCGTGTGTGTTGCAGTGATTTATATAGTATTTGGTCTCGTTGGAAAAGTTTCTGCAGTCTTTATAACCATACCACAACCAGTTTTAGGGGGCGCCATGATCGTTATGTTTGGAATGTTCAATGGTATCGTCCTGTCAAATCTCCAAGTTATATCACTTTCATCTACTCGGAACCTCGCTATCATCGGGACGTCTTTGCTCGTTGGCCTGATGGTACCGTACTGGTTAGAGGCTTTTCCGAATGATTTCAGCACTGGTAGGTTACAAGCATTACACATTATATTAAACATAAAGACAACGAGAAAATATGACGAATAAACAAAATCATAATCTAACCAAGAAACATATGAATTGAGGCCTCGATATAAACAAAAGATTTACACAGATAACCATGACAAGCGCTAGGAGAATACAACTGGGTTTCCGGAATAATAAGCGTCTTCTGCCTGACGACACCATCATAAACAATCCAAGTTAGTAATGTCATGTTCCCAAAACAAAAAACAAGGATGATTATAAGGGAACAGAATATTTCCAAATGAGATTCATTGGCATACAGCTGTCGAATCAACGTATGGTACAACTGTCTGTCAACTGTTGACATATCGTACGAAAATCGTTAGAAAAAGGTCAAAAAAACCATTTGATATCAATGGCCTTAATATTGAAACCTAGGAGGCGGCCAAGGAAAGTCCAAAGTGATCGAGAGAAATCTATATGGGGATGTGCATTAGCCCCATATCCTGAACCCTACCGCTATTCGAATTCATTGAAACATGATATACTGATTATAGCGAATCTCGGATACTTAAAATGAACTAGCAATATCTACCACCCTCAATATTGAAGACTGTACAAACGACAATCAATTGAGAAGCATATATTGCGAAAAAAAACTCGCTTGTGTTAAATCAGGAAAACATGCATGAATTGTATTCAAATTGATTAATTTTTTTCCTTCTTTTCTTTAAAAAACTGGCTTTGACAAAAAAAAAGTACCTATGCTATTCAGAAAAGCAGTCAGTAACATGGGAATAGTCCAATGTCATAGCGTGACATGTTGTTTAAGGCTAATGCCAGCGTTATGACGCTGCAACAGAGAACAGGTATGAATAAGCAGCGAAGATATCAACATTTCTAAAGATTTTTTCCTTAATTTCTGACCCTTTAAATCGTTCTGATTGTCCATGATTGGATTATTCCAAGTTCTTCAATAATGAATGTCAGAAGACTACAATAGCAAAACATGGAGGTTTATTGTAGTTATATTTTTGGCAGCAGCTTAGTTGTATTCCCAAATGTCACATTGGCTAAAATAGCACGATTCTTTAAGGGATTAACGTCCCTGACTTAACAGCAACACAGGTAATTTCCTTCCTCGGATTTAGTGTCATTGGTGTCATATCTGTATTGATACATTTCAGAGGGTTTAAAATTGTTTAAAAGTCTTCCGTCATCAGAGTACGACTCTTTTAGATTAGATATATTGTTTGGATGACAAAATCATTCAACAGTGTAATCATCTTGCAAGTAAGGATCATGGCAGGAATGAATCATATCTTCATTTATTTCAGGAAATCCCTATAACGATAACATCATAAAAACGCTGCTAGCCAACCCTAATCTGTGTGGAGGTGTAGTTGCCTGTTTCCTAGACAACACCGTGCCTGGTAGGTATCTCTAGCGCTGTCAAAAAATGCCTTCATGGAAACGTTGCTTGCTAAAAAAACACATGTGAGATGTGAAATTTTGAATAGTTTCCATAAAATCAGTGACATTAATGGAAAATGTACAATGCACAGTCGTTATTACGACTTTTGAAAGGCGTTATTACGCGATCGCTTAATACAGAGTTGGCGCCTCAGATTGTGTCAGCTGGACCGCCCTTGTTGTGACAACGGGACATGAAAGAAAATGTCACTCTCGGAGATAATAATTATCTTGTTTGTACATAATAATGTGCGACGAGTAATATAAAACTGGCGACACTTTGGTGTGAGATATATACCTCACTGAGAAAAGCCGCAAAACGGTTTTAGTACGAATTTTTTCTTGTAATTGATATTACTCCCTTTCAAATCAACATATAAGAAGATGACACTGCTTTCAATCGTGATTCACCTACACACGTGTACCGTAGGCGATTGAGGAATTTAAGTAATTTAAGATATGTATTAGAAGACGTTGCCTTGAAGTGTGATACATAATGTATAATGCTGCAGGCGATCGAGAAAATAATAATTTGACCTACACTTGAAAATATGTGCATGCAAGCAAGGGGTTTTGTTTTGTTTATAGGAGCTTACCAAAATGATCCTATATTTCAACATGATTTGCAAAGTATATAGCATTCTTCACAATAGTCTCGTCCATATTGTTTTAATAATATTATTTTGCACAGGCACAAGAAAAGAGCGTGGTATCACAGCGTGGCAGAATTATCAGGAAGAAGATACATGTGTGTACAGTGAGGGAGTGGAAGTATACTTACCTCTCATACCGGAGAGTTGGCGCTCGTGGAAGGTTATGAAGTACCTACCTTTCTGTTATCACCGTCCTGAAAATCCGTCCAAATTTACATCAACACAAACAGAAAAACTACAGAATCATATAGAGTAGCGCTGGTCACTTGAACTTAAAACAAAAAATGCTAATTCCAACTCACCACAATTACAGACACAATATAACTATATTCCTGATTATCCCACCACAATTACAGACACAATATAACTATATTCCTGATTATCTCACCACAATTACAGACAAAATATAACTATATTCCTGATTATCTCACCACAATTACAGACAAAATGTAACTATGTTCCTGATTATCTCACCACAATTACAGACAAAATGTAACTATGTTCCTGATTATCTCACCACAATTACAGACACAATATAACTATATTCCTGATTATCTCACCACAATTACAGACAAAATATAACTATATTCCTGATTATCTCACCACATTTACAGACAAAATATAACTATATTCCTGATTATTTCACCACAATTACAGACAAAATATAACTATATTCCTGATTATCTCACCACATTTACAGACAAAATATAACTATATTCCTGATTATTTCACCACAATTACAGACACAATATAACTATATTCCTGATTATCTCACCACAATTACAGACACAATATAACTATATTCCTGATTATTTCACCACAATTACAGACAAAATGTAACTATGTTCCTGATTATCTCACCACAATTACAGACACAATATAACTATATTCCTGATTATCTCACCACAATTACTGACAAAGAAGAGATTAACGTAAAATCCTCGCAGAGTTTGGTTGTATTCGTTATTCCTTATATTTCGATTACAAGCATACACAAAATCAAGCTACTGCACATTAAGAAATTCTTCATTTGTAAACATTGTTTACTTTATAATAAACGTTAAGATGTAATTCAACGTGACGAAATTGTTGTTTTTTTGTTTGTGTTTGTCATCTGCAGTAGGTTGATTGGTTTAATACTGGGAAAGTATAAATTTATTTAATCCTATAAACCGTTCTTCATGAAAGAATAATTTTATATAATTTTAATAGATGTGATAAATCTAAGGATCTGTTGTTTCAGTTTGAAAGTTAGCTAGGGAATCGGTAAAAGGATAAAACATGCACAGATAAAGAACGATATGATTAACTTTTAGATTAGTATATGTTTACCCTTCCGGAGCACCTGGTTTTTTTCTCCGTGTACTTTTCGTGAGTCTCCGTGTCAATCTTTGTTCATAATTTTGCTAGTTTTATTTACCTTATGGTTGGATTATGATTCATCATAATAAGCCCTCAACATACAGTTATCAGTCTTCAATAGTTGCAGCAAGTATTCGATAATAGTAATGCTCTAGTGTACATGACAAGGGAAACGACCAAATAAAAAATACACCATAGAGTTATAAAAAGTTTTCTTCACGCCAAATAGAAATCTTAAAAACAACAAATATAATTATTACAACTGCTTTTGATGAGCAAGGGCAAATTGAAACAAACCATGTACCAAACTCAGCCGTAGCTTTATATTTGTTGACATACTTCTGTGAAAAAATGGCTGTTCTGTAGGTAAGTGTATGCGACTAAAATATTCATTTAGTTTTTTTTAAGTGATGGGCCCACCATTAATGACTGAAATTAACCGTAAATTCCGTCACGTATATTTTTATGCTGAGTGATTTGTTAAACTTATTCTCCATTTACTTAATAAGGGGATACATATTACTGTGTTAAGTGTATGAAGAAAAAAATGACAAACTTTTATAGCTTTAGCAATTTATTTGCCTTGTATTTTTCCAACCGTAACAAAGTTGTAATGACACGCAACAGAAAACACCAACAGAGAATAAATTATGAATGATATAACGAATCGGGCATGGTAATGACAGGAAGGTTAAAATCAATAAATGGTGTGGTATAACACAATGATTGGTCGTATGACGGTATTTAAGGGGAATACAAAGGACAAGTATCAGTAGTGTTTGCATTGTAACTCTAATCCACAAATGGATAGTGTCTTCATATAGGGTAGCAATGTAGTTCATGTCTTCTTGTCCTTTCCATCTGTTTTGAATCTTCTCTTATACAAAGCGCTTTACTTGATCTATTGTTATCAGGAAAACAGACGCAGAAAACTGAGTTAATTTCACTTCAAGGTAAGATACTTTATTTAATTTGCATTTTCCTGTTTTAATGTATTTATCTCACGGTTATTCATATTTGAAAAGTATTTTGTTTTCTCAAAACTTGAAAATAGAAACATACATAAGTACATCTGATATATTAAACCTGATGTAAAATATTTCTGGTGAGGAGTCACCTAGATACCTTTTCTGACTTTCTATTTACAGCCTCACAGCAAACTGGAAAATCATAATTGATTAATCATTTCGGTAAGATAGCAATGCATCAACTTGAAGATTAATTATTCAAAACTGCTAGGAGACCATGCTAACTACGTGTGGTGTAAACAAAGGCTATTTCTATATAACTAAAAAAAATTACATATGTTGCGAAAATAAGTTGAAATAAAGTTGAACAAGAGTACTTACTGCGAATATATATGTACACGTCGTTAATCAAGTGACCCTACCACAACACAGGAGTTATGTTAATATACCGTCATTAGGTATATAGAAACAGAATTATTGCAGGCTTTATGTAAATAAGTACGAATAAAATGTAAACCAGATTCATTTCCAGTGTGTCAGTATTAGTGTCGTGAGGAAACACGGTCGCTCAAGGTAAGCTTTTTCTCGTATGATGATTAACATACCTAAATGAAGGTATTCATAAAGACATGTGAAGTTAAGCTCAATCGAAGGTACCTGTTTCAGTTCATCGATTTGTTTGATCTAAACCATGAAAAATAAGGACAGCTGGTCACCGTGTGTGAATATAGAACTTGTAAGTACTGACAGTCGCGTTCTTAACATGTATGTCGCTGGCTCAAAGATGGCAAACAAAAAATTATTTAATGGCCGATAAAACTGCTAAATAGAGGATGTTTTATATTCATAAATATACATTGAACATGGAGATGTCATTTTACGCTGCCTCCAACACCATCTAACTGGAATCTGTCAATAAGCAATCAGTCATAATCTTTATCACCATTAATAACTGGTCAGGTTGTTACCAGTATATATACTGGATGTGACACATATAAATATTTAAATTTAACAACACTTACTATTAGAAATCGTGTGTTATAAAGTAGTATTAAAACAACGAATAAAACAAACAACATGATCCCATTAGATCGAGAGTGCGAACCCATGAAAATACTTTTTTTTTAATCTTAAACGTGAGACATCTTATTGCCCGTATGGTTCCTCACACTGCAAATGTTATGTCGAACCAAAACAAGAAATATGAGGATACCACAGTTCATTTGTCTGGAAAAAAATCTCAGTTTGGGATACATTTGCCACAGAAACATACCATCACTCATGAAGTTTATTTTTTCAAAAAGTTGATGATTGTGGTAACAGGATAATGCATTCTTTATGAATTTCTTCACCAATAAAAGCATCAACATCGTCTTCCTCCATTTGTTAATATAAATTCTTGCGTTTGGTAAGAAGTCTGCAAAATAAGTATTTCAATATTTCCATTTTTCATCAAACCCCAAAATAAAGAAACTTAAGTGTTTTCATATTGTGAGTACTCCTTGCTAAAAACAAATATATATTACATTTTTTAAAGGAAAAAAACAACTGTAAATGCTTGTATCTTTAAAGAGCGGATAATCAAATGAAAAAGATCTTACGATTACATCTGTCTCATTAATAAGAAATATTTCATTTACTTTGTGCGATATGAAGCTTGATGTATTTGATGCTCGTAAGCTTGCTTGTCGGATCAGTTGTAGTATATCTTGTATTCATTTTGGAACGTGACATTATTTACTTGGATTGACCGAGATATACATGGTAGGTGTCGTCCTTGAAGCAGAAAACGTTTATTCTTTCAGAGCACCCGGTCTACTCTCCTTTTTTACAAGAATCTCTTTTGTTATAAGTATGCCTATATTTGTAATGAATTTGGGTTTGAATTATGTTGGCATGTTGATATTTTCTTCTTGTTTTATCTGTCAAACCGATAATTATCCAATATACCGCATCTAAAGTTTCATTTTATTGGATATAATGTTATTAACGACTTTCAAATGCACTTGGACGTTGTCGACAGGATAACGAAAGTCCACGAGTCCTGAACTCCGACGTTGTCGGCACGATAACAAAAGTCAACCAGACCACAACTCCGATGTTGTCGGTAGGATAACGAAATTCAACAAGACCACAACTCCGATTTTTTCGGCAGGATAACGAAATTCAACCAGATCCGAACTTCGACGTTGTCGGCACAATAGCGGAAGTCAACTAGACCAGAACTCTGACGTTGTCGGCAGGATAATGAAAATCAACCAGACCAGAACTCCAAATAACGGCTCAGTAAAGTACATACCGTGACTATCCGGGTACGCCCCATTTCATTCATATTCAGTGATATAACGAGAAGGTTCAACCGAGGTAATTTGCTGTAAAATTTAGCGGCAGCTACCTGAGGAGATATAGATGATATTTCATGGATTTACATCCTTTGTGATATCTGAGTAGTGTACCTGGACTAATTCTAACACTGCGTTGATAGGAAGAAACCCTTCAACAACTTCGTAAGTAAAGTCATTGAAGTACACTCGACAGGTGGCTGTAAAACGGTCCTCATCATTCCAGGCACCACAGACTAAGTTCTCTGAGGCATCGTACCAGTATGTTAGTCCTATCAAATCAAATAACAGTAATGCGAGTGCATCGGACAGCACTCACATGTAGTGCATCACCGCGACCTGTTGCATTCCATGTGTTGACTTAAAACTGTGACACCATAACGCTTGAGAATTTTTTTTTTATCTTTGATTTGAAATATGAATTGCCCGTTTGTATTTGAAATGATTCCCCGATAGCACATTTGTACATGTATGTTGTTTTATACCCCGCTTCGTGTAAAAACAAAAACTTTAAACAACCATGTCATTTGCTATCAATATGTATATATTTATCTGGTTAATCTATTTCAATTACTATATACACA